CATTGTTCTCTGGCTCCCTCGAGCTCGTTCACTCTTTGACCTCTTCTTCGTCTTGGCTCCCCCGCCTCCGGCTTCCCTCTTCCTCTTTCGTACTTCTCATCAGTCTGCTTCTCATCACCCATCAACGACGGCGCTTTGCGGATAGACATAGCTCAACATGTGGCGCCCCCGTGTTCAAACCGCTCTTCGGTGCGTTGACAGTGCCTGCTGATGGTCCCTTGCCCCACTCCGCTCGTCCCACGCCTCCCGTCAATGTCGACCTGCTCACATTGGAATAAAACCCCCGCCTCGCAGGAGCTTGCCGGTGGCCCGACGCGCCATGTCCATGCGGCCTGAACCTTCCATGTCGGCGCTTCTGAACGATGTTGGCACCCGCCGCATCTTCAACGAGGATCACGACATGATGCGTGAGTCGGTTCGCAAGTTTTTCGAAAACGATGTCGTCCCCTACCACGAGGCCTGGGAGAAGGAAGGCCAGGTGCCCCGCGCTATTTGGGAAAAGGCTGGTGAAAACGGTCTCCTTGGTATTCCCATTCCCGAGGAGTACGGTGGTCCCGGCCTCGACGTCTACGGCGCTGCCATCATGTGGGAGGAACAGGCCTACGCCGGTTGCTATGGCCCCGGCTACGCCATCCACAGCGACATTGTGCTGCCCTACGTTTTGCATTATGGCACTGAGGAGCAAAAACACAAGTACCTCCCTGGGGCTTGTGCAGGTACTCAGATTGCAGCCATTGGCATGACCGAGCCCGGCGCCGGCTCGGATCTCCAAGGCATCTCCACCACCGCCGTCAAGGACGGTGATCACTGGGTCATCAACGGCAGCAAGGTCTTTATCAGTAACGGCCAAATGTGCGATTATGTCATTGTCGTCGCCAAGACTGACCTTGAAGCCAAGCGTGTACGTACTCCCTGCCCCCAATGATCCAACCCCGGGCGCTTTCCGCCCCAAGACCTCTTGATTCGCTTGAGTCAGCATCAAGTCGCTCCAGCCACCTCATTGCGCGCCCCCGCCTTTTTGTCTTTCTCTTCCACAGGCAGCGCACGGCCTCAGCCTGTTCTTGGTCGATGCGGGCACGGCCGGTTTCACCAAGGGCGCCAACCTGGACAAGATGGGTCTCAAGGCCCAGGATACCTCTGAGCTCTTCTTCGACGATTGCCGTGTTCCCGAGTCTGCCATCCTGGGTGAAGTCAACAAGGGCTTTTACTACCTGATGTCCGAGCTCCCCCAGGAGCGTTTGCTGCTCGGTGTTATGGCCACCGCCCATGCCGAGGCCATGTACGAGTGGACCCGTGCTTACATCAACGACCGCAAGGCTTTTGGTGGAACGCTCGCCAACCTCCAGACCGTCCGCCACACCATGGCTGAGCTTAAGACCTCCATCGCCGTGGCCCGCGCCTTTACCGATCAGTGCATCCAGCTGCATGCTGTTCGTTACGCCTCGTTCCCCCGCTCATCCCTCGTGCCCCTGCTCTGTACTTGGCTCCCAACTCATGCTGAGTTGCTTTGTGGCCACAGGAGGGCCGCTTGACTCAGGAGATGGCGTCCATGTCCAAGTACTGGTGCACCGAACTCGAGGGCAAGGTGAGCCTGACCTTTGATTATGACGCACATTGCATCGCGACTATCTGACTCTCATTGGAAAAGCCACCACCACTCTCATTGGAAAAGCCACCACCACTTCCCTAACTGGCATGCCAACTGTCTACGCTTGTCTGACCCAATCCCAGGTGGCCGATGTGTGCGTTCAGCTGCACGGCGGTTGGGGTTACATGTCTGAGTACAAGATCTCGCGCGCCTTCACTGACGCACGCGTGCAGCGCATCTATGGCGGTGCCAACGAGATTATGAAGGAGCTCATCTCGCGCAGCGTTTAAGGCCTCTCTAAATCAATGAATATGGTTGCCACCTGACCCTAAAGCCAACCTCACACTGACTTTTCCTCTCTGGGTGGAAGCATCTTCTGGTTATACCTTGCTGGCATCCGTCGAAGCTTCCTGTCTTGTTTGAGAAATGATCTACATTAAAGTGGAGGGCAAAACGGACACACGTGTCTCGGTGCGCTTACGTCTGGCGCTAGGTCTGAGTGTTCAATCGAGGTTTCCAAAAGGGCAACAGCTTGGGCAATATCAATCAACCGTTTTTTTTATTTTTTTATATTTTTTATTGTTTGCTTAAAAAAAATAAAGACGTCAGAAGTGGGCGACATATCAGCACTGTCAGTCATGTTGCCTCATCAATCATGATCGACAGCACGCCTAGACAAGTTTCCTGGTGAGCGACCTTATTAGCGTCAAATCCGTGCTTTCACGCATTTGAGCACTCCCACTGCTTTCGCACACACTCAGCGTCGGTCACGATGGGCCTTCCCAATAGAACCCCCATAGCTGCCATGACCTCACACATACACACCTACAATCGGACCCACTGGGCCTGATTCCTCTCACGGGGGTCCCTTGAGTAGACACCGCGTGTATCGCGGGCCCCGCGATACCTGGGCAGCTGCCTTGGGGCGATAAGCTTCTGTTGTTTCCCTTTGTTGTTGCGGTCGGGCACGGGTTACACTTTCCCTATCCTCGGGATTGAGCGACTTTACAGCTATTCAACGGTGCACCTGGTCTGGTCACTGTGAATGCTTGCCGACCGCAGCTGGTTTGATTGACCTCAAGACACCATCAAAGCTTCCGCTCCGTCCCGACGGACGTCTCTTAAACCACTCTCAAACGTCCAGGAGGATGTTAACTTAGGTGTTATCACGAAATCGAACCCGCAACAAAAATCTTCTACGTGTTTTCGTAAATAGAATTTAGCTGTTTTCTCTACCTCCTTGAGGCAAATGCGTGAACTACTGAGATATTTGCCATGCACAACCGTTAAATTGATAGGTGGCCGGACGCTTTTCAGAGAGGGACCGGAACCGCATCTACAAGGAAGCGAATTGAGAAAACTGGCCGCGGCGAGAAGTTTAAGCCAGAAAAAACCAAACAAAAACATCAGGGCATCTGGACCCAAAAGTCGGGGTTCATGCAACTCGTCTTGTAGTCCTCAATGGCCCGACCTTCACAGCTGTGAGCAGCCACTGGGTTCAGTCGCAGCCAGCTCCAGGGCTTGGTCTGGACCATGTTCTTGGGTCCAACGAGGCGAAAGTAAGTCTCGTTACTTACTATGTCACCCTGGACGAGGATGTTGGTCACAAGAACCTTTTTGTTAGCAAGAGACGTGGCCAACGCGGCGTCATCAAGCTCAAAAAAAGGCGCTGCAGGGCAGAAGGGAAAGGCGGTCATCAAATTGAAAGAAAATCCCTCATCGTAGGCGGCACGGGTGACAAAGAGCGTGGCAAGAGCCCCTCCAAGACTATGACCAAAGACAGCCCATTCTGCCTTCTTAAAAAGCTCGTCACCCAGCTTTTCGCACACGCATTCTTTAATGTCATTGTAGAGAGCTTCTAGCATAGCTGCAAAGCCGCTGTGTACGTTGATTGGCATGCCGTCATCGCAATTGCAGAGGGTAACAACGGCCGCGTCAAAATTAGTGCGCCACCAAAGTGGCCAGTTGCCGGGCCAAAAAGGTGAGGGGGACCCCTGAAAGATGAGATACAACTTGGGGTTTGGAGACTTTCCCTCGTTGTGGGCCAGAAAACACCGTGCGCGCTTGCAACCGTACTGGTCCTCAAAGGTGCCAACTATACGCAAATCGTCCGCCGTAAAAGGAGCTGCATTTGGTGGCCTGAGATCGTTGATCGTGTTTATCAAGTCGGCGTCTTCCACTGCAGCATCCATTTTGTATGCCATCTGACTACCTTTCAAAATCTTGCCAATGCGGTAGCCAAATTGCAGGTCTTCTTGTATTGTGGGCCAACTGACGGATAATTCGTGTGGTCTGGCCGCGTGGTGCACCCATGCCATACGCTTGAAGTCACGAAGGTCGTAGAAGGTATAGTAAAGTTCCCTCAAGAGAGGTACGACAAGAGTATCAGAAAGGTTTTGAAGCTTACCGTGGTCAGCTTCCAGGTAATTGCAGGCACGGACACATCTGGCACGGTAAGGCATGGAGTTTGAGTAACGATGAGTCGGCGTTCCCGCGTGAGCAGGGAGGTCCTCGATAAGTTGAGCCGCGTTATTGTCGTTCATAAAGTCGCGCCCTTCTTGATGGCGGTGGTTCTTGGAGAGTTCTGTTTCAGGCTGCAGCGTGGTCAGGTGGTGGGCGATGATGGTCTTTGCGACAGCAGCTTTGCGGAGGGTCCAGTCAAACCCGTCGCCGATGAGGCCGGCAACGACACCAATCATGGTAGCCATCTTTCTTCTTGATCCTCACGGTCACGATGAAGATTTTGAATTGATTTCTTTGAAAAATTGTTACATGAAGCTTTTCATTCAATGCTGACTCCGTCAAAAAGCCGCTCTGATTTTTCTCCATTCATCTCTCTCTTTCTCTCTGTGTGTGTGTGTGTGTGTGTGTGTGTGTCTTCTCTTAGATCAGAGCAAA